ACAATAGAAGGAAGAGAGAGAGAACATAGGTGACGGCTAGTGCCGTTCCAAGGGGGTTATATTAAAAGAACAATGCTAGTCTTTTCTGAAACTTTCTTTTTGTAGTAGATGTTAGGACTCATCGGGTTGCTACTCGATTCGATCGAGTCCTAGTTAGAAAATTTTGCACCAGATGAGCTCTAGTCATCTGAGGAATGTGTAAAGTGTACATATCCTAAAATATTGACCCGATGGCTCCTATTGGAAGCTCAATAGGAGTAAAGGTACCGATGAAATCAAACAAATATGGACAGAGAAGGAAAGGACAAAGTGTGCAACTAGACGAACATTTGGCTCAAAATGTCACTTACATTATTTTAAGATTTAAATATAGTGAAATACACTTCTATCTATAAACCATCTAATTGTATGAATAACTTTGTTACAGCCTTCAAGAAAACTGAAAAACCATTTACTCGAAAATTATCCTAAAAATCGTCATGTTATTGAGATGATTGACATCTGATAAAATTAAACTGTTTAATAGACAAATCAGATACATTTTCTGAATCTACTAGCCGAGGTCTATATAATAATGAAAAAAATATTTTTTTCAGGGCTGTCTAAAAGACTAATCACGTAAAATAAGCAATCCAATTTCCATATATTTACAAATTTTGCTAGAATGTTCTTCTATTTACTGTCTTTAGTCTCTATTAGCACAAATCTTCCTGAAATGCATAGTGAGTTTCTAGAAAACCTAGATTTTTCCGGTTATTTTTAATTTTTCTAGCTTTGGAAAAATATTTAACTGGCAAAAATAGTATATGCAGCGTCAGTATATTAAACTACGTTGAACGATATACTTATAACTCACAACAAATTTGAAGAAAAACACTCTCGAAAATATGAGGCAAGTCTTCTCTTTCAGACATTTTTCGTCAAAAAAATTTTTTTTACTAAAATTGCTTTTCTGCGTTATATCTAACCATTTGAGCAATTAATTGCGTTCTTGAGCGCAAAAGCCATATGTCCAACAAGCCATGCGAAAAATTCACACTTCAAGTGAGTGGAGAAAAAGATCAAAAACCCGATTTCTACTTGAACATCCTTTATAGATGATGTCTTATTAAATTTGAACCGCGCAATCGATCTTTTCATGTCTTCATCACAAAATAAATTGTTTAGCAATATATTCAATTCAATAAAAAAAAAAGTATTTATGTAGCGATTAATTTATTACTTATGAATCGTGCTACTATCATTGCCTATTAACATGATTAATAGACATATAATTACTAAAAATAGCTGTTAGTGCAAACCCTGCAGAATTAAAATGTAAAACATGATATAGCTGCTCTTGCTAATTATAAGGAAATTACTTTATTCTATCTATTTTTGGACATATTTCTTTACCGATGCTTTACTCACTACTCCTGAAATACCACAAGCAAGTAATTTATATATTATTGATACATGGTTTTTTAATCGTATGTCAGCAATGTCTATCAGGGACTGTGAGAATTCACATTTTCACCGTATACTTCAACATTCCTTTGACATCGTGTTTTACCAAATGAATCCAATATCAAATGAACATATTTTTTTATTTATATATTGACGATATTTTTATATGTTATGTACTCAACAAATACATGATTGATGTACTCCGTATCATAATAGAGTTATAGGCCATACAAAATTATTAATTTTGCATAGTTTTTAGCGTGATAATCGAATTTTCAATTTTCTTTCTGTTTTTGTATAGAGAAAATAATAAAATTTGCTTATATTTCCTAGTTTTACATTACATTCATTAGTTTTCATTCACTAGTACTATCGATTATTGTTGGATAGATTGTTCAATTTCCGGATAATTTTTAAGTCTATATGGCAGATAATCAAATATTGCCTGTATAGTTTGTATTCAGAAAAAAAAGCCATAAGAATACTCTTAATAAAAATGCCACTCAGTGTTATATTCGAATAGTACAAATATTTTGTTGTAATTTTATCAATTTTCAAAATCTTAACGAAAAAAGAAGAAATCGATTAAATGACATGTATTATCAGAAGGTGGCCATAAAAGTTGATCTTTCATATCTTATCTGCATAGTATCTTAGAATTCATCGACGGTAAATTCAAGATTTTTTTTATATGGTAGCGAAGACTGATTAGACGAATCTAATTTAAAAAACATCATAAAGATTGATGAAGAACAACTGAAGATATTGAATGTTTACAGAATAGAATTTTGCAATTAACTGAATTACTCTGTTTGATTTAATAGGAATAACGTAATAAATAGTATCCTAGAGCTTTGCACTTTGCCTAGAACCTTTTGTGTTTTTTTTAAAATAATTTATGAAATTATTCAATAAAATATACTTTCAGATCAACGTTTTGTTTTAGTCTATAATGGTTCTTTTGTAAATGTATTTGTCACAGTGAATGGGAAAGGTCAGAAAAACTTGCACTAGATTTTAACAATATTTTTAGTTCATCTTTCACAAAATTGACTCTCAAAGCCAATTTAGTTCTTCAAAAAAAAACCTCTGATTTGTTTTTTGAAAAAACTATAATATATAATTCGATGTGCATTGTTATTTCCTGTTTGCAACTGCAACATTCAATTACAAATTATTTACATATTGTGCACAAAACATGAAATTATCTGTATAATTGAATGCTCTGGTTCAAACTAGATGTTCAAATCAAGACTATGTCATTAACTGATATTCAAAGCTAAAACTTGATATTAATAGAATCACGCGAAAGTATTGCTACGTTTTGAAAAATAGTTGTTTTTTCTTTTTGTTCAATTGTAAGATGAATGCTACTACATTTAATTTTATTTCTTGAAACTAAAATATTATAAACTGTTTACATGATAATCTTGAATTGAAGTAATTTTCTAATGGATAAAGAAAAGCCTATTGATACTATTTGATAAGAAGCTTTATTCATGTAAAAAAACCAATTGAAAAGAAATCAGATTAAAAGCTATTTTAATCTGATTTTCTGTTAATTAATTTTTTTTACATGAATAATTTAGAACCGTTAGATGGACGTATATTATATAGAAAATATTAATCTTATTGTATTATAAAATATAAAAAAATTTTCGTCTTGGAATTTATACTAATATTTTAGTGCTGCAGGTCCTTAACGACGAACATCTTGACCTCTTATTATTTATTCCTTGTTATCCATCTCTTAATGGTTTACATTAAGTATGAAAGATACGTGTCATATTTTTTTTTCTATTTTATTTGTTTTTTAATTATATTCTAATCCAGTAGATGATTAAAAAAAAAAAGAAGAAAGATAAGATATAAGCACGAGTTGTAAAATGAATGTACAACATACATTTAATAGGCACTTCGATGAAAGTTTGCGCGACATTTGTTTTTAATTGGTTATGTGTGATGAAGCAAAATTAAGAGATAAAAAATAAAGAAAAAAAAAAAAGTTTTCTTGCATATATAAATATTCTTTATTAATTCTTTAGATTATAGCAAAACAAAAAAGAGACAGTATAGAAATATAAATCCGTTGAATTTTGATATCAGTTGGAATTAGTCGAGGTTAATTATTTATTTTACATTTTTTGGTAATTAAAAATTAAACAAAAACTAAACATTTGGTTAATTTATATATTCATATTGACGAAAATATTAAAAAAATGCCAGAAAGTAAGTAAAAGTTTTCAGAATGAAGCAAAAGCCTTTTCTTTTATTTTTTTATTTATTTATTTAGTACCACTGCCTATTAATTGTTTCTATTCTTTTGTTAATGCAACAGATTCAATATTATATCGAAAAGCAACATTAAATGAATGTAGATTTTCTAAATCTGCTGGTTTATTTCTTCTTATTGTTGCAATTGTATCATTCATAATTAATATTCATTCTTTAATAACAACTAGAAATAATCGTCAACTTTTATCTCGTGATCGAAATCTTATTGTTGGTATGTTTATATCATCATTATGTGTTATTATTATAAGCTTACCATCAGTTGTTTTACAATGTTTTCTTTGTCATCGTTTATGTTCAACATTAATTTGTCATATTGAAGGTTTTAATTCATTTTTTAATGGTTGTATAACAATGTATATGCTTGTTGCATTATCAATTTTACGCTATATAACAACAGCTAATTCATCATTATCAATAAATTTTCAGAATAAACTTGAAAGACATACATTAATACTTATTATGATTTCTTTTATATTGGCAAGTATTTGGACTGTACCACCAATATTTGGTCGTATGAGTGCTTATGTACCTGAAGGTCTTGGTTTTCATTGTGGTATTAATTGGTTTGATATAACAATACCTAGTCGAATCTATTTCTTTTTACTTTTTATTGGTGTTTATTTTATTCCATTGATTATTATTATTTATGTTAATATATATATTAAACAAACTGTTTATCGTTTAACACATTTACATCCAACAGTTTTAATTGAAATGGAAAATATTCATCATCAAGATGGTGTACGAAAACATATTTCAAATCAATCACGAAATAAAGAAATACAACGTTTACATCGTTTATATGAAGATCGTCGTTTTGTTATAGCTACAGGAAGAAGTCTTATTATTTATTTAATAGGTTGGACACCATATAGTATTGTTGCTTTAGATCAAGTATTTGGTGATAATTTTTCATTATATCATCCATGGGTTATGACAACATGTGCACTATTAGCAAAATTTTCGATTATTGTAAATCCAATTATTTATACAATTATACTTAAAAGTCAAGAAGTGACTGTAGTTACATCGCAAGAAGAATTATTTTAAGAAAATTATTTTATTTAAGGCTCCTATCTTCAAAAACTAATTTTTCGGTCACGTATACTTCGATCAACTGAAATTTTAACCATGTATTGAGGTTGTCATGGAAAGATTAGGATAAAATTTTCAGCTCTATTACATAACATTTCATTTAGTATTTATTTTTTCTTTGAAAGAGTATGTCAATATGCAATACCTGGCAGAGTTCTTTTGTTTGTTCAATTCTTACTTTTTGAGTGCTTACAATTTTGTCGAATACAAAAAATGTCGATTTCAACTTGATTCCAACTTGATTTCAAGTTGATTTCTGGACGATAAATCAAGTTGAAATCGACAAATTTGTAATCGACATTTTTTGTATTCGACAAAATTGATGCTTTTCTTACTTTTTATGTAGTGGAAAAGAGGGACAAATTTCGTTAGTTAAAAACTTTTCTAGAAATTTTGATCTATCTATAAACATATTTCTATATGTCATGCACCGCAGCATGTTGAAAAGCTATGTAAAAGATGCCGTTGTTTGAGCGATTCGTCCGCTATGACCTTGACAAGTGCTGCGGTCTTTCCTATATATTAAAAAACGATATTTAATTAAAGTAAAGAACTACTAAGAAATAAATCTCGAGATGCTTGTTTAAACAGAAAAAAAAAACTTAAGTATTTAAAATGATGTTCTTCTAAGAGCTTCGAATATCAGGATCAAAAGAATACTAAACAGAAAAAAAAAGCAAACAATATTTTTCACTTGTCCTTTTACAAAAAAAAAGCTCTTATTTCAAGTAGAAGATGATAGAAATTATTCCGAAAAGGAAAATGACATATTAAATAAAATAAAAAAACAAACTCATTTTATTTATGAAAGACCTAACCTCAAGTTGTCCAGACCTATATTTATTATAATCCCAATTAATGTGACAGAAATGAATTATTTTTTGAAGAAGAGAAAAGAAGGAGCATTTTAATTGTTAAATTAAGAACTTTTATTCGATGTTGTTGTGTATGGTAATAATGACATTTTGATTCATATGTGTCTGTAAAATTTCAAAATAAATTTTCATCTTCTCTATATTCCTTATAAGTATATTTGTTTTGATTTAAGTGATCGTTCAAGAAAAATATCTTTACTACCATTGTAAAAATGGATGTTGAGTATATTGAACAATATGTTCGATAATTTTAAATATCGGTCTTGAATGTATCATTCATGATTTGTAATAGATGGCATGTAAAAATAATAGTAGAGTTTGTTGAACGTAAAAGATAAAAATTGATTATCATTAATCTATAGGATGAAGCTTAGCCAGGATAAAGAAGAATTAAATATTCAAAAAAAAAACAACAAACTCGAGTAAAATTAATATTCTGATTAATTTCACTTTTACTAGTATTTATTTTAAGTTTGAAATATCTTTACATAAAATAAGATATCAGTGCTGTGATATTGATAAAAGTGACAATTTTGTTATTCAAGATCAGTGTTACAACTTATAGAAATTCAATATATGAAAAAAGAATTGTAAGCCGATATATTAATCAGTAGTGATAGCTAAGTTTTAATTTATCTTTCGTTGGAAGTTTTTGATGATTTTTTTTCTTTCACTTTCTGATTTCTGCAAAATTTTCAAATGAATAAGATGATAAACAATGTAATCATAAAAATGTTAGATAAGAACATCTTTGAAAAAACTGATCAGTTAAGCCGATCGGCTTACTCATCTACGGAATTTTCATAAGTCCTGAGGCATAATAAAAATTAGTTTTTATGCTTAGCAAGAACAATTTTCCTAACCGAATGATTTTATATACCTCGTGAATACTTTTGTAAATGTTTTACATGATATATTATTAAATAATATCTTCTCTTGTCATAATAAAAATAAAAATATAAGAATATAAAAATTTATTTTTGCACCATTAATCAATTAGATATTTTATTTCAAAAAATAAAAAAAGTAAGAAACACTCATATGTTAATCTGATTGCACAAAAATTTCTTTGAATTATCACGTATTTATTATCTAACAGTTTTTATTAATTCACTAGATCTGTTAGAAATTTTATTGTACTGTAGTGAAACATGATCTAAAAGAAGTGTTGAAGCATAGAACAATTTGGATTCCCTACCCTCGACAAACCTGAGAGTCATACTCTGCAAGATTAAAGTACACCTGGAAATTAGTATGATAGTTGTTCTTTACCTTTATTTCATGCTTACGGCAATATATTACAATTATTATCTTTCATCCTCGACATGCATTAACAGTAAGAATCCATAAATAGAAATATATTTTCATTAACATCCTCTTTTACAATAATGGCAACTTCATTGTGTCTCACGTTTTAATTCAATAGGGATTACGCTACCAGCTTTTTCTCTTTAGTATTGTTTACCATTTAATCAAAAAATCGAGTTGATCAATTGAGAAAAATTTATCTTTACATTCTCAAGTTTATGTTTTTATTATTATAAGAGAAGATATGATTCAAAAGTATGTTATTTGAGAGATTGACACGAATACTCAAGATTCATATAAAAATATTCAAATAGGAGTTTTTTTTTCTGTGCACATATAAACTAATTTTGTCCGGTCTCAAGATTTATGAATGCTTACATATATGTAAGCATGACAATTAAAATTTGTTTTATACTAAAAATAAAATATCAAATATCAACTGAACTTCTTTAATAAATTATTATTATCTACAATCTATAATAGTATATAACGATTTTCGTTTAACTAATCAAATTGTTTTGTAGTATAATCATCAACTAGAGATTCAACTAATAATTTCCTACGAGTTTCGTAGATTTATAATAAACCAATGTTTACTTATTAACAGAAGATTCAACATAGTTAGATATTAATAAGGTGTATGTAATCGGAGACGACAGTATAATTATGAAAGAAGATATATTGATTAATAGCTAAAGATGATTTTAATTTAGATAATGTCTTTAAATTGGATATTGAGAAAGCTGTTGAAAAGATAAATGAAAAAAGAACTAATCAGGAAACTTCTCCAAGTGTCAAATTACTTCTTGACGAAAATGATGTTCATTTGATGAGTGATAATGAGAAATAGAACAGTCTAGAATGGTTTAGTTTTGTAAGCCTTTGTTCTCAAGATATCAAAAGAATATCAGTTTTTTGTATTCCTTAAAGGACGCGGAAAGTCGATTTTCACCTTGAACTTTTGAACAAACAAAGTTCTTAATTAGAATTGTTCATTATATATAAGTAGTATTTCGTTTTTTTGGATACGTAAACATATTTATTATATTTTCTTTTATACATAAGAGAATTTTGAATATTGAAAAGCCTTAAGGTAAAAGATTTTAGAAAAGTTACAACATGTCCAATGAATTAGTCTCATTGAGAAATTTATTCGTGCATAGTTTGAAATCGAAATTCAATATCCCATTCCACTTAGGAGAAACCATAATTTGTTATAAAAAAAAACTAGTAAAATATCCATATGTCGGGAACGAAGACCCTGAAAATCAAATCATTCTAAACTTTTCTAATACTTATCAAATGAACATTATCTCAGTCGAAACAATATTTGATATATGAAGAGTTTACTTCTTAACCTCTTTCACTGAATTGAAGGTCTATATCAATCTGTTTTTTTTTTACAGTTAAAAAATAATTTTCAAATTCTTGATCATAATGTATTCTATTAGTATTTTAACTCCATTGTCAGTTGAGATAATTCTTCTATAAATGACAATTATTATTGTTCGAGTAAAAAAGTAATATTTATTAAAAATAATACAATTAAAAAACTCACAAATTATTACATTTAAAAATTAAATTTTTATTCTACTCGTGATGCTGAACATACAACACATTTATAAATATACGGTGGATTTTCTTCTGCACAAGAAGAACATTCCCATGGATTCTAGAAAATGCATTCGACAAAATAAAAAAAAAACATGTGTCCTTTCAGTATTAAATAAAAATAAACTTACATTATTCTTATATTTCTTTGCATGTTCTAATAAAAATAAAACAAATAATGAATTTGGTCCAACATGTAAATCTTTCATCGTAGAATTATCATGTACTAAATTACCATTAACAAAAAAATATTGATTAAATGGAGAATAATGATATGCAAGTTCGAACTAGACAGAAAAAAAAAAGAAATCGAAAATTTATTTCTAGTAAAACGTCTGTTTTATTTTTAATATACAGCTGCACGTAATTCTCGAACTGTCGTTGATGGAAAAACGTCAACAGAAATAGTTCCACCATGTTGTTCAACACCATATTCATCACCATCGAATTGAACAAGAATTCTATTATACAACAAAATAAAATAAAATTAATACAATAAAAAATTGAATTATTATCTTGCCGAAATACATCTTCATCTTTTATTTGTCTTATTGAGTTTCCTTGAAGTCGAATACCTTGTGAAGCAAGTTGTTTAGCCATATTAGCAGCTTCATTAGTATTACCTTGTTGTATAGATTTACTTAAATTACGTACATTAGTCAGGATATCTAAATCAAAGATGTTTATGAAATCTTCTTTTTCTTCTGATAAGATCGTGCACTGAGCTAAGTGTTTAGTTATATATTCTTGAATAATAAGTTCGACATATTTGAAACTTCTTAGACAAATACAATAATTACTTTCTTGCAAAATAAACCGAGATCAACAGAAAAATTAGAATCAATATTAACGGATGTGATCTTTTGAATAGATTGTTCTTTTACTCTCAATCTGATGGTCCGATGAGTTTCGCACTAATTCTATAGTGCTGATATTAGATAGAGTATGTTGTATACAATAATGAAAAACAAACTTGCCTTCAACGATATCTTACAAGGAAAATTTCCTAACTGATCAATCGCCTTTGAAACGGACTCATGCAAATCATGCATATCCTAATGGATTCTGAGTAATCCGAAAAGAGTTCAAATTCATAACTTATTGCTGTCAGCATATCATATTTTTTTGCATAGAAGCAAACCTTAATGACAATATAAAATCATAGCTATATTTTGAATTAGGAACGACGGAAATATCTGAAATTTTCAGTTCCTATAAACTTTTTGAATTCAAATTCAATCAGGCTCAAGTCCGAACTCTTCTCAGATTAATCATAATGTATTAGTATATACATGATGATAAATTGCTACGGAATCTTTTACAATATAATCGAAAATAATAAAAAATTTTGATGTCAATCTAATTATTTTAGAAGAATTTATAATCGTTTTTTTTTCAAATAGCATATTATTTCAGAGAAGATAATAGTTTAATAAAACGATACTCGAATGTATATAAGTATGATTACAATTTAGTAGTCATATATGACATAGATCAAATATATTCAATTTTATTTTTTCTCTTGATATCATTATTCTATATTTAAATTCATTAAACAAAATAAGAAAAAAACATTTTAAAGAGCTTACTTTTTGCCTCACAATTTATTGAATTTGGAATGTCAGGTTCACTCATTTCATCAAAACTGATACGACTAGGATTATCGCCCATACATTCCGAACTTGTGTCTGATGATTCAACATGAGAAAATATTTCAAAAACTGCACACAGTGTTTCATGAAATGAATCACGTAAGCTTGAATTTAACCATAAACGAAAAGTTCCATTCAAATCTTTGATTTCATCAGGTTCATCTTCTGATGATCCAAATTCATATTGACCACTATCTGTTAGAGGAATATTAAAAATTTCCTTTGAAGAAGAAAAAAAAAAAAGATTTTTATATAATCAAACAATAAATCAAATAATGCTTATACTACTTTATTATTTTCTATGTCAATAGCGTTCAATGAATAAGTATTATTATCATGATAATATAATTGAATTAATGATCGTTCAGAATAATTATGTTCCGGAACTTCATCATCATTTGATATGAATTGAATACGACCAGTACTATATACTAGAAGACTCATTTTATCTGGAATAATAATAAAATAAATTTATTATTTTATTTTAAAATAGTTTTCTATAGTACAGTCAAATGAATTCAAAATAAAATTTACTTTAAAAAATTTTAAAACTGTTCGCTATATGATTGTTTAGTTAAAAATAAAACAAATAATGAATTATTTTTCACTTTTAAATCATTCATTGTCGATTCTGCATGAGCTAAATGACCATTTACAAAAAAATATTGATTTGCCGATGGAAATTGATGTGTATATTCAAACTGTTAATAGAGTAAAATAAAGAAAGAGAATCTTGAAGAGATATAATTAACTCTCTCTCAAAATTGAGTTTATTCTTTCTCTAATAATCAATATGAATGTCAGAAATCAATTATCGTTTGAGTTAAACAGTTAGATCTCAAGTTGACTACGCGCGATTGATTTAAAATTTAGTAGTATCGATCATCATACATATCATATATCGAATGAAAGCTCTTTTTTTTGCCTTTTCGTTTTAGATAACATTGTTTGTTTGTATGTAGAATATGAGAATGTTCATGACAAAACTTTCTCACTCTTGAGCTGTGAAAGATGTGATTCATTTTGAATTAGGTATATCATTTGATAGAAAGTTTTGGAAACTCTACACAGTGATTTTGTGAGATTGAGGCTAATTTTTGGCCAAGACAATTTAATCAAATGCGTATTGTTCACGAGTGCCAAAATTTTACCGTTTTTGACTGAACTTTGACGGCTTTCGGTCATAATAATCAGGCTTTTCATCAAAACAAATAATATATTTGAAATTAGCACAGAAAAAACTAAGTCGATTTATATGTATTATAAGATCCTTTCATAACTCGTATGTTCTTTCAAATGTTCAGCTGTGTCTCTCTCTTCAGAGTAACATCGAAAAATAAAGTCTGTTAAAACGTTAGTTTGATTCTGAAAAGTAACGTCTAGATTTTTTAAAATCTTACAAAAAAATCCAAAATGACAGATAAATGAATAATAAAAACCATATTTTGGCTGACTAGTTTTCGATGCAACTCTAAGGAGATAACAGTCGCGTTTTTGAAAGAACATACAAGTTGTCAAATGATCTTGTGATACATATAGATTGACTCAATTTTTTTTATGATGATTCCAAATATATCATGTGTTTTGATATAAAATTATTCAAATTCGTTCAAAAAGTGCAAATATTTTTCACTCATGAACATTTTTTAATTGACTGAATTATTGTGGTCATAAATTAAGCTTAACCTCACAGTATCATTTTGTGTAGGGCTTTCAACTCTTCTCCTCCTATCAAATAATATACAGCAAACATGTCATCTAAAAGTAAAAGTTAAAAAACTCTATTCTGCTATATTCTTATATGTTGTTCGATATATGATATATACTAAATCGATAACAACAAGTTTTGAGTCAGTCGTGCGCAGCCGGATTGAAATCTAACTGTCTAATCTGAACGATTAGTTGACTTCTGAAATTCAAATTGATTGTTAGAGAAATAATAAACTCAATTTCGAGAGAAAATCGATTACATTGCTAAAAGAGTCATCGGCTTTTATTTATTTACTTACAACTGCTCGTAATTCATGAACTTTGGTTGATGGATAAACATTCATTTCAAGAAGCTTGTCTTTGTCTTTTATGTTTGAATCAAAACCATCAATTATAATTCGAATTCTATATTATAAAACAGAAATTAAAATGAAGAAGAATAAAAATGAATATATACATACGAAAATCTTTGTTCATCTAATCGTTCTTTTGAGTTTTCAGCAAGAAGTTGAACACCACTTTTTACTAATTTCTTAACCAGTTCATCAGTTTCATTAACTGCACCTTCTTGAATACGTTCACTCAATTTGTGAATTTCGTCGAGAATTTCTACAGAATCAAATAAGAAAGTCACTATGAAGATTTACAAATTGTTTCATCAAATGAAAAAATAATTCTTATATTTAAGATTTTTTTCTAAGTTTTATCTTAAACTTTATGTCGTATTTTTCAGTTAAGTTCGTCTTTCCAAAAATAAAAAAGTCAACGTTTGTCTGAAAAATAAAAATTCAGGTGATGAATTCCATAAAAGGCATGATATTTTATTTGACATATTAATGTTTTGCTAAAAGTTTTGATAATATTTGTGATCATCTATTTGAATTTATGATTGTATAAAAAATAAAATACTACATCTAACTTCATTTCTCAAAAACATGTATTTGGTTGTGATTCAGGCTCAGAGAATATTTTACTAATACCCAAACCATTTGCTTTTATGTGAAAAGGAAAAATCATGCCTATGCGCATTTATATTAATTCTAGAGTATTCTTTCTGATGATAAGAATAGAATCTCGAAGAAGTTTGCATTTAAGTTATTTTTATTTTGAAAAAAAAAGTCTGTTGTAATTGTAAATAATAATAATAATAATAATCTGAAAAATATGCAAAAAGAAATCAGTAGCATTACATTATAATAAAGTCTCTTGTTTCTTATTTCATCTCACTATCTTAGATATAAGAATACCTTTATCAAAGAAAAACAATCGAAACAAAATCAATTCAATTAGGAAACATTTTATTTGTTGATAGTGATCGGTGCATTTGAATTCAAACAATTAGTAAAAGAAATAGATAATAAAACTCAATGAAAGATTTTTAAAGAAAGAAATCAACACAAGGTGTTTTTTTCTTCTGCATGTGAAAAATAAGATTCTAGGATAATATAGTTTATTTCTTTCATATCTTCAAGATATTCTCGATCTAAGCGAGATCAACTCTTCTTCGGTTGCGATTTCAGTTCAGAGACTAGCACTACTTCACTTATGTTTTATACCACTAATAACGAAAATTAAAAAAATCTAACTTGCTCCGTCGGCAATGGTTCTTGTGCTTGGTGATCCAGTTGATGTTTTGTATTTAGATGATCTGTCTGATTCGACACCTGGTGATCCTTTGCCTTTAGACATCAATTTCTCGAAACATTGCCGTAATGCATTATGAAACTGATCACGTCCTTCTGACTGTAAACGCAGCCTAAAAATTCCCTCATCCAAATGAATTTCATCGGGCATATCCTTTGAAGATCCAAATTTATATATATCATGACTTTGAAGTGGTAAGTCAAAAATTTCCTACAAGATAATATTTAATCAATCATTATATTCAATAGTTTTTATACTTTTTTGTTCTTTTCTAGATCACGTGCTCGCAGTGAATAATTAGCACTCTTATCTTGAAGTAATTCGATCAGTGATCTATTTGAATAACTCTCTATTGGACGTTGTTCATTCTTTGGTATGAAGTGAATGGTACTGTTACTATATGCTACAGTAGTCATTTGATCTAAAATGGAAAACAACCTAATTTATTTTCAAGTGATTTTTATATCATCTCTTATGAAGTGTATGTATCATAAATACGTTGTATTTTTATCAAAACAACATTTTAAGAAATAAATATAAAGAAAAGTTTATTTGTTTCATTTCATTATTGAATTATGAATAAAAAGAAAAGAAAAATTGAATCAGGATGATTATTGAAATTATTTATAGGTACATTTTCATCAATCAAAAAATTCATGACAGAAAAAAACAAGAAAACATTGAGTTAAGAATGTAAATAATATTTGCCCTCTAAAAACTTCATTACTGTTTTAAATTTACTGATACTTCGTCTATTCTGCACGATTATTTCTTCAACAACTTTAATGTTTATGAAAAAAGTAATTTTTTTTACTATCGAAATTGCAGCAGAAAATATTACAGTGATCGTTACTTATTAATTTCCGCATAAGAAAAAGTTATGGTTCTGAACCCGCCGTCACTGAGACTATCTTGTTCATATCTAATCGTAACACATACAAACAAAGTCAGTCATTTTGATCAATAAAAATTTTTTAATTTCAGAGGAGAAACATTTGTGAAACATGATCTAAAAGAAGTGTTGAAGTATAGACGTCCAAATTTGAACCGACTTCATCTTCCTACAGACGGTGACAGTCATCTATGACAATGTGTTCCTTGAAAGTGCGAATAGCATCTGTATTGTGTTTGACATTTTAACGCCATAATCATTGAACTGACAGTTTTTTTTTCAAATAGTTCTCATAATAGACATTTGTCTTTTTTTATAATATGACCTAAAATTGAAATTCTCTAATGACAATGAAAATTATTTAATGAAAGGAATGAAACCAATTTCAAAAGTTTACTTTCATATATTTATCATGAAATTTTTTTTTATTCATTTATATAACTAAAAACATCACCAACGGAAATCAATGGTAATTCTCTATTCTGTGACTCTTATTATATACTGAATAAAAAATCGTACTTGTATCATTGAAAACTAATAGTTTTGCAATATTCTAACGAGCGATCATAAAGTGTTTAAACAAAATATTTATCTATTTTGGCATATTTCCGATGAATCAAAAACAATGTTTTTGTACTTCTTTCGAATATGGACTGAAAAATTTTATCTCAATTTTTGTTCGACAATAGTCAAATAATTTTTGAAAAATTGACAACTGTTTTATGGCGAAAGGAGATCTTGAAAAAATGTTTAAGTCAAAGCTACATATTAGTATCATATCACATTTTGTAGAATAGTGTCCACTTCAAAAAACAACCACTTACAACGATTTGTCACATGTTTGAAAAGGAACTTATAGAGAAAACAAAAATCTGTTGATTTCTCATTCAAAAGAATTTTTTAGAACTCTCAAAAAGTTCATCATTACTTTAAAAACAAAAAAGTTACATAACATTTTTCAGTTCTTATTCAAAAACAGAACGAAATCATAGGTTCTGACTCGTCAAAAATGGACCAATATCTTATCTAAAACTTTTCCGATTGCTCGTTATTTCTTCACTAACACAAATCACTGTTCTTAAAATTTCAATCAGAACAATAATTATCTGTTCATTAAAGATTTTTTTTTCCATTTTTAAGAGCGAATAAATAACTAATCTCTAAAAATTAATTTTTTTTTTCAAACATATTTCAATTATTACAACACATAGTCTTACCTTTCACAATCCGTATCCTATAAGACTTGAGTACGAAAGTCTTACCATATTATTTTCGCAATGAAGCTTGCCTTGATTGTTTGCATAATGAATTTTCATAGAAAGGTTTTTAAGTTTTCTTTACAACATGCATAGTCAGCTAGTTTTTGATAAACTTTCTTAAATCTCTAACTTCTCAAAACATGTACATAATGTTTGATGTAAATAGAACATATGATAGTATATTTAATTATGCACAATAAATTCCATCATGGTAATGAATTCTATCTGGATAGTTAACTCAGTATTCAAATTTTATATAAATCAGATTTATTGCAAATTGAAAATTTTCTACAAGATAATATTGAATTAATCAATATATTCAAAAATTTTATACTTCTTTATTATTTTCTATATCCAAATGTATAATTACCATAATTTAATTAATAAATAAACTATTCGAATAAAAATGTCGAAGATTTTGTTTACTTGTTGGTAGGAAATAAATACAAAATTTGTTTTATGTTTGAAGACTGATTTTTTTTTATTTAAATATAGAATATTTGCAGTAGAAAGTAGAATATATATGACTCATTAATATAATCTAAGGATTTTTTCAAGTATAGTTTTTAATTTGAAAAATTCTTTGAACTTATGAAAAATATCATTTGATATTGTTTGTAGAATAATCCTAAATAGTAAACCTTCAATATTGATATAGAGGGCCAATCTTATTTTTTTATTGGTTAAATTACAAATGTTTGATAAAATTTTGATGAAATTATTATTATTTTTTTGTTTTAAGATTCATATAAACGAATAAAAACATGTCTTCACATCTTTGGCCAACAATTGAAACATCAAAAGTTAATTCATTATGGTTTCGACCATTACAACCTGGTAGAAAATAATATTTTATATGTTAATTTATAATTAATTTAGTATTTATTTTTGTTTTTTTTTTTGAGTACGAGAAGAATTTAGTTTAGCTAAATTTGAAGAATTACTTGAGCAAGAACGAAGACATCATATTGAAAAAGGTATCTGTTTTTTTTTTGTATTGTAATTTAATTCTTAAAAATAAAATTTTTATCAAGGTGTTAATTTACCATTTCATGGAAGAACAGAAATGGATAATGCTGATGTAAGAATTTTAATAATCAAAGATCAAATATATAGAAAAGTGTAAAACTTTTTGTTTATCTCTAGGATGATGAAGATGCTGATGAAGCTGAAGAAGAAAGTGAAGGTGGTGAACCAGATGATGAAATGGATGCACAACAAGGTCCAGGATCACCTGGAACTACAATCGGTGCTGGAACAACACCACATGATGCTTAAATATTCATGTAGTCTCTTTTTTTTTTCTCTAAAATATTTTGTAAATAAAGAAACTTTCCTTTTTTTTTTTCATCACTTTAGAGAAGTAAAATAATAGTATTTATACATATATTTTCAGATATGGCATCAAAATTTCGGTAGAAAACTAGAAAATAAAACATTAATTGTTTTTTTTATTTGTTTTATTTCTATAAGTAATGTTCCGGTAAAAATGGTTCGAATTCAATGGTCAGACAGAAAGCAGCCGATAACACATAAAGAAAATGTTGCTATTGGCATGCCGAAAGATACAGAGAATAATACTACATATCTACGAATTGTTGTAAATGACAGGGTAGGTATATTTTTCATGTATTCAAATATAGAATGATTATCAAATGAATGAGACATAATCATAATTTTTTTTTTTTTAATATCTCAAAAAAGATTTCAACATAGAATGACATTGAAATTCTTTGATGAGTTCTAATCGAGGTAGCTCGTTAGATATATGTAAAATCTAAATGTATATTAGATAATATAATTGCAAAAAACTGAGTTATTTTTTGTCTCGGATGAAAATTTTTGAGGAAATAATTTTTATGAGTTTAACGTATGAATACTTGAACAAATCTTCATTAATAAAAAAAAAAGCAAACATTACTATGTTGAAATGTTTTTTTTTTTTTTAAGAATATATTCACTTTTGTGTGATACACTAATAATATAATTTAGTATCGTGATTGTTATTAGATGATTATTTCTGAAGAACTTCATCATTTTCAATGGCTTGATGAATCGAGTTCGATTGGTGTAGCAACAATTACTACATCATCTGTTAAAATTGTTATTCTTTATAATTCACAAGACAAAACATCATGTGAGTTCTTTGATGAAATGGAAGCATTTCTTAAACCAGGTATGCTTTGATCACCATTGATATATTCTTAATATATTATTGATGAATTAGTTTTGCATAAAGAATCAACAGGAAAAACGGGAGAGGAAGATTACAGAACATTCGTTTTCGCTTTACTTCTAGAAAATTTTCATTTTTTTTTCTCAGCTAAAATTCTTTTTCTTTATTAAATTATTATTCCTCATCGACAAAAAGAAAATGATAAAACAATATCCGAAAAACATTTTTGTTTTTGTTATTGGATTAATTTAATATTAAATTTACGTATATACTCTAGAAATAGAATCTTTCAATTTCTTTATATCATAAATCATCTTATTTTGTATGTATTACTATTTGAGATCCCGATAGACGATCACCGAGTCCACCTCCACAACGACGTAATCAAACAACACAAGGTATTGATGATTATCTTTAAAAAGCGAAAAGAAAATAATTCTTTGACTAATTTAATTACATACTTTCATTCAATTATAATTATAGAAAAGTTCAATATAATATTCGAGTATATTAAATTTTCAAAACTCATCTGAGTAAAACAAGTCACGATTTTTATTCAATAATTTCTTAACATTAATTTTAAAAACTTGCTACTCAATAAATTTTAAATAATTTTATCAACTAAATAGAAATAGCTTATATTTGTATGTAGTTAGAATCTAAGTTTATATCATACGATTTGAAAAATCATTTATCAACAGTTGTTTGTATTCTCGTAAATTAAATATTAAACATGCTCATAGAAGATAAATTAGCAATCTTTCAATATCGATGATCCATTTACAATTCACAGGTATAACGAAGAAAATCTTTCAATTGATAAATTACTTTTGATTCGAGATTACGTACATTATGTAGATTCAAACGACTTATAAACATTTTGAAAAGAATTTATGCTCGTTGTTTATTACTGTAAAGATATTGCACTTTTACGAGATTTTTTTAAACTTAATATGACAGTTTCGTCAAGAAAACTTATTTTTAAATTTCAATTTGGAACTTTGCAAAGTTTCTTGTAAGAGTTTCAGTTCTTTTCGTTATTTCTTTGCCATAATACAACTAAGGTAAAAGTGTGTATTTTTTATATCGTTCATATACATCAGTAGATTCGATGCTCTTATTTTAAGATAGAAGCAAATCAAAAGGCTTGAAACTTTCACAATAAACTAAGTTTGTTAAGACATATCTCTATACAAATTTTCAAGTCAATATTTAAAAATTAGTTTTCTTATTGTTTCTGAAGATGACCATGATATTCATTTACAATAATTTCGTAAAAATGTATTCTCTATGCAGCAATAATCTAAGAACATAAACTCTTTTCAGGATACTCATAGTTCATTTGAGTCTAAACAATGCACATAGTTTTGACTCTAAAGCGATTTATTTGTTGAAGAACTTTCCTCGTAAGGAAGACGCATGAATTGTCAATATTTAATACATCTAAGTACAAGATGACTCGTTCATTTTGTACAAATGTGTTAAATTCTTAGAGTGCGAATCGTTTTTGTTTTGTCCACAATAGAGAACTTTAGGGAGCTGCAGATCCACATTTTTGTAAACTCGAACCTAGTCGAATTCAGACCCAAGTTTTTCTGCCACCAATATCTTGTACTCTCGACGTACATGATCATGTGAAAGATTAAGGTTTTAGACTACTCTCAATAAACAAAAACTAACATATAGTTATTTCTTGTTGTTCATTTTCTTATCATTTGATGCTTTATAAATTAGAAGTTTTAATTTCGTTGAAAAGAGTATTATACTCACAAAGAAGAACATTGACTATTTAATTAATAAACAAAATTCGTCAAACCAAAATCATCAGTTATACAGAATAGTTTTATTTATATTTATGTAAATAAGATTAAACAAGTAGAAAGTTGCTCGTTCATGTTTTTACGGAATTACTCTCGTAAAAAAACAGTTATTTAAGCTATATCAAAGATATGAAAGAGATAAGTATTGATAAGAGTATGTGAATAAAGATTTGTTACATTTACTAGTCACTCATATATTTATTACTAAAGAATACTGTATTTAAATCTTATTCATTTATTTTCTAAATGATAGATCATATAGAATTGGCCACTAGGGACCTGATAAGATTTATTAACGAAGGTTCTGGCACAGATGCCGAACGTGCTGCAGAATATTTAGCCAAGTCTCGAGCCAAAATTCAATTTAATTTAAACAATACAACTGTAACGAAGAAAGTCGAAGCTGAAGCATCAAATAATGTTCTTCAGTTTGTTTATATTATTTATTTTTCTAGTTTTCTTATTTTGAATATTTTAGGTTAACGTTACGCATTGAATGTCATTTAAATAGAAGTCCTTTGATTAAAACAATCTATGTACCTACTGGTACTACTCTTCGAACATTAAAAGAAGAAGTTTGTTGATATAAAATACATTTATTTCTGTATTATAAAAAAAACGAATCTAATTGTTACTTTAGATTGAAAACCAAACAGGTATTGAACGTAAAAGTCAATTTTGGTATGCTTTTGATCGATATATAATTGATGATAATTATCAATTTGGATCTCAAGATCCAGTAGTTCCACCTCGTCGAAAAAATACTCCTTTGAAAGAAGCATTAGCACCAACCGATCCAATTCGTTCTGGTGATACTCTTATTATGTATATTGCACAAATTTCAACATATAAATAAGAAAACAGATGAACTAATTTTTGATATCTTTTTTTCTTTTGTTTAAAACTCAATTTGTTATTGACTTTAACTCATTCTATTTTTTGTGTTTCTAATAAATTTCAATTTAATTTTTATACAAGAAAAAAAAAAAAATCTTGAGATAAACTTAGGTGATTATTTTTTTTCATTTTATCTATAGATGAATATTCATCATCGTCAATTGACAACAGATCTTAATTCATATTTAACAAAAATATCTTTTCCATATCAATGTCGTAAATCATTATTATCATATGGTATATGGAATTCATCATTAAATATGATTGAAATAATTCATCAACATCGTTCAGCTGCAAAATGTTTTTTATCAATGGGTATTATGAAAAATTCTAAAGTATATCTTTATCCTGAAGAAGCTATATTTATGATGCAATGTTCATTATTACAAGTATCATTAAATAATTTCAATGAAAAACAAATCATGCCTATATCACTTGATGAAGCTTATTCATTATGGTTTAATCAATCAATATTAACTCTTAAACATTTACATGTTTATCAATATTTAACAAGAATTGGATTTATTCTAATTCGACATCGATTACATGAAACAATGATTGAAACGAAAGTAGATTTATTAAATAAAAAAGCAATTAATACTAAACGAAAACGAGATGAATATGAACATGAATCAATTGAATCAAATGAAAACGAGATTCAAATCGAAAACTGTACTTGTCCGGTAATTAGAAAAGTCTAAAATGAGAAAGAAATCATCAGTTTAAAATTAATTTTTTTGTTGGTCGGAATGTAATTTAGAAAACAATGTTTCTTTTTAATTACTACTGTGTTATGAACCAGAAATATTCATCGCTGCTAGATATCTACCGCTAATATCATTGCGGTGACAATACGAGAGCAGCATTGCTATAGACATTTCTGCTGTGAAACAGTAGCTTATCTTACACATCACTCCTGTAATTAATCTAGTGCAATATTTTTTAGTGAAATCAATCAAAGTTGAATTTGATAATAAGGGTGAAGAGTTACACCTTGCGGATCACGAAATCTGACCACTTCTAAATGGCTCAGCCTGTCTGCTCAAGATCATTATAGAATGACGCTATTAAAAATTTCTTTCTTATATAAAGAAAAGAATTTATAAAGGGGATGAAACTTCATAATAACTGCAGTCATTTATTAGAACATTGTGAAAATTTTATTATCATAGGAACACGAGTTGAATAAAATCAAACAATTTTACTGCGTTCAGAAAACAGTATGAGAGATAAATCGAATTATTTATTGTACTAAAAGACCAAAATACATTCATAGGTACTTCAACTTCTTTAAGACTATTGTTTATTAACATTAGTTTTTACGAGTAAAATGCTAACTGATCAATTTCAAAGCATCAGATTGATTACTATTTTTAGTCGTATGGTTTCTCATTAGTAACACGTCTGACATTTAATGCAATTGATAGTACGCTTGATATTATGTATGAATGAGAAATAGCAATGGAGCATTTAACTTAACGAAAAATTAAGTTAAGTTTTAGGACTAAACACTTAATATTAAGTTTAAGTGATTGCATTAGACTAATATCATTGAATTTCGAGTTTTTCTTTACGCCAATAGGAATTCACCATGGTGTTGCTTGGCCAATATAGTAGTTGGCTAGGGTCCTCTGTTATATAACTTGAATAACAGTATGTTTTGCCCTTGAAATATAAGGAAAACAGCTTGCTGAAACTCAGTTGCTCGATAAGAAAAGCTATCAACCAATCACCTCTCAGTGGGATTTTTCTTCGTTATTGTAAGAATAAAACATTGTATTGTTCGGATCAATCATGCATTTACAAGGCCTTCTTTTATATGACTCGAATAACACTATGGTGAATCTGTATTGAGAGAAAGAAAAATTCGAAATTAAATTATATTTGCTTTATACAATCACTTAAACTTAATTTTAAGTGTTAAGTAAAATCATGTAATTAATTAACTTAATTTACTTGAATTTAAAAAAAATAACTGACCCATTTCTTATAAGTACTACCATTGAATCGAATAAATGGACTTATTTTACTTATTGGCGAAATGAAACTGCCAACACGTTCGCATCATAAAGATTTGTAATTGTCACCAGTGGTGAGGTGCAAAATCCATTGAAGAAACTTTGAAAAAAAAAAATTAGAATAAAAATCAATACTTCTTTTGAATAAAAACCGTGTAGATAACACTATTTATTCGTTATGTTTCAACTTGCATGATAGATTTCAATTGATTTTAGCCTTTGTAGATCAATTAAAATAGATATATTGATTGAAACTGTTTTTTATTTTTAAAATTGATTAAGAAAGATTAAATTCGAATGAAACCTTCCTTCAAAGTTGAAAAATCATCTTGTTTTTTTCTATTTTGGTCAGTAGGAAATCTTCCTAGGGAAAAGAAGTAAAGTTCATATGGAGAGGCTCAAACAATACTCTTTATATTTTGCTCAACATGTTCTAAAATGAATTTTTCTAGAGTATCGAAAGTAATCATTCATTTCTGATTAAACATCATACATACGTGTAGACTAATACAGTGAATAAAAAACAGTAATAATTATAGCAGATTATTAGTTAATATTTGATATTTATACATGAAGAAATCTAAAACCGATAGATAAGCTATAATCATAATTGAGATTAAATAAAATAAGTTCAGATATGTAGTGATAACTGAATCAATTTTTATAAGCTGAAAATTAGAATTTCTCATTTATGTCTCCTTCCTCAAAAAAATGATTATTTACTCCTTTTTTGTAAATATACTTCAAGTAAGCCGGAAACTTTATATATTAATCATTTGGATAAACTCTTTCGATTTTATTCCATGAATAAATTCAATAGAAAACCTGTAAAGTTTTTCTTTTTTATAAGTACTCGCATGATTGTTTTAAATAGATTCATTTGTCATCTGATTGTCAACGAGCATGGTTTCCAAGCTATACAGATGATCCACCTATAGATTTGAATCTTTATCCTCGTTTATTATTTCCTGATAAATTATCACCCGTTCATATTGATTGGCTTCCATTAGATTTCAATTCAAAAGTTTCTAATGTTGAATTATCAATTTATCAAAATAATAAATTATCACCACGTCCATCTTATTCTCTTCTTCGTTCCACTGATCTTCAATCTCATAGAACAATTTATCAACGTTTATCATCTTTTTTCTCTCATTCAAATCATACTATTCAACCATCATCATCATCATCGTCAAATATATTTTTCGATATGTATACACCAAGAAAAAATTTTCGTAAAAGTCAACCAGGACCACCGAATTATTATATACAAATAAAAGATGGTAATGAGGAATTTAACTTTGAAGAAATTTGTAATGAACAACAAACGAACACTTTAACAGCTGTTGATCATAATGGTGATCTTTCTTTTTATTTATTTAAACCATTCGATCCATTAGAAACATTGCTAGGAAAATAATATAAATATATATATATATGTATGCTGTTTTTCTTTGTAGATGCTACCGATTCATTATTGGTTAATCAGTTCAATAACCGGTGTCATAATTCTTTATTGGTTTCGATGTCGATATAAAAAATTACATTATTATTCTATTGCACGTCAATCTGCACAAAAAAAACGTATAGCACGTGATAAACATCGAGAAGTATTATTAAATCTTCTACGAACAAAATATTCGAAATATCTTCCTGATCGTTCAATATCGGAAAGAATTTTTCATTCAACAACAGTTGAATTATTAAATGGTCTTCAAAAAAAAGATTTTACTTATACACAAGTTACACTCGTTCTTTCACTTCGAGCAATTAAAATTGGACAAAAACTTAATTGTACTACAGAAGAATTTTTTGATCAAGCTATTGAATATGCTCAAAAATTAGATGAAAATGATAATAATACAGATGAACTTTTACTTAAAGGTATACCAATTAGTTTAAAAGATCAAATTGATCAACAAGGAGCAGATTCATCAATGGGTATAGCTATGAGAAATTTTCGACCATCATTAAAAGATAGTCTTATTGTTCAATTACTTAAAGAACAAGGTGCATTTCCTGGTTTTGTACGTACAGCAACTATACAAGGTATGATGTTACCTGATACAGAAAGTGAAACTTATGGAATAGCACACAATCCTTATGATCTAACACGTACGACAGGCGGTAGTACTGGTAAATAAAGTATTAAAAAAAATGAAAAAAATTCTAATAACATTTAAATTCACTACTTTTCTAGGTGGTGAAGGAGCTTTAATAGCTTCTCGCGGTTCTCCATTAGGAATTGGTACAGATATCGGTGGAAGTATTCGTATTCCAGCACATTTTTGTGGTTTATTTGGTTTTAAACCGACACCAGGACGTATCACAAGTAAAGATGTAGCTGTTCCTAGTCGTAAAAATGAAATGGGTGAAACAAATATCCGTTCAACTGTTGGTCCATTAGCTCGATGTACTGATGATCTTGTACTTGTTATGCGTTCATTATTACAAGAAAACATGTGGTTTAATAATCCCGAAATAGCCAGACAACCATGGCGAGATGAACTTTTTATGGATAAAAAACGATTAACTATTGGTTTTTATACAAATGATAATTGGTTTTCACCTGCGCCTGCTTGTATACGAGCAGTTAATGAAGCTGCTGAAGTTCTTCGTAAACTTGGTCATAGAGTCATTCCATATACACCAATAGATGTGCCAGAAGCTGTTCGTATTTATGTTGGAATCATTGGAGCTGATGGTAGTCGTCATTTTCTTGAATCACTCGAAAATGAACCCATAAATCCACTTTATGAACCATTATTTCAAGCTGCAAAATTTCCAAATTTTCTACGTCCTTTAGTATGTCGTTTAATGCGTCTCTTTGGTGAAAAACGTAATGCTCATATTCTTCAATCAGTTGGTTCAAAAACTGCCTATGAATATTTTGATTTAATTATTGATATGAAAAAGTATATAAAAAAATGGTTAGATGATCTTAGACAAAATAATATAGATCTTCTTCTTGTAAGTAAAACAAAAACTATAGACTTTAGTTAATGGAAAGTAACAAAAAAAAACTTTTTTTTTTAAATAGACACCAGTAAATGGTTTACCAGCATATCTTCATGGTCAATCTAGTCATTTATTTCATTCATGTACTTATACATTTCTTTTCAATATTTTGCATCTGCCAGCTGGTGTCGTTCCAGTAACATTAGTTCGAGATGATGAACAATATTATGAAGATATTGGTCATTTAAATAATGATTGGGTAGTATCCATGGCTAAAGATACATGTCGACAATCGGCTGGATTACCTATTGGTGTTCAACTTGTTGGTTGGCCAAATGATGATGAACGTGTTTTAGGTGTAATGAAAGAACTTGAAAGCGCCATCGGACAAAACTCATCACCAATACCAAATTTTGCTAATGATATTGATATTTATACATACTAAAGTGAAAAATGAAAGTCATAGCTTGTAGAGACAATAGATTGATTACTTTGTTTACAATAATTGATCTTTGCATCTTTTATTTATCTTCTTATTTCTTTTTAGATATTTTACTTGCCATTGTCAATAGTGTAGAAAAATAAATAAACATTATAATCTATAAGAGATTCAAATCGATCGACTTTTCCTAGATATCGATGGTTTCTGACCAACACTGAATCGCTATTAATATAAAAATATTTTAACACGAATGAGAAAATCTTCTTGATAAAAACGCAAGTATGTCATGTAGATAGAAATGAAATGATTAAACAGAATGTTTGTTGATTTAACACTCTTTTATTTGTGGAAAAACATCGAAAAATTTCATAAATTAAAAAATTTGTTTTCGATTAAAGATGTCTTTCGTATTATATTTCATGAGTTAGTTAAAGAAGATGTGCTAAAGCAGATAGATATTGAAAATTTGTGTATTTTGAACAAAACTTGCGACTTCTAGTCAATTTTTTTTCTTAACTCTGTATTGTGATCGTATTTCTCCATATACAATATGAAGAAATATGACCGTTTGAAATTATTTCTTGTTTTGAAATAATTATAACGGAGGAATTTGACGAATATTATCAAAAAAATTATCTGTGCAACATTTATAAGGAGGTATGCGAAAAACAATCAAACTAATTTCGAAGTTTCGGTTGTGAAGAGTGTGAGTTTGGCTCCTCTCTTCAATTATATTCACACTCCAAACTGACGTAAGATCCAACTAGACATTGAAATAGGCAAATCTTTGATCTGCTATTGGAAGCGCTCGAATTAGGATACAGGGTAACCTTTCTAAAGCCCGAATTAAACTATTGATTTATGTCGGGCTTGAAGTCTTGATAATAAACTCAAACTGTTCAATAGCATTTCGATGATTAGAATGATCAGTTGATCAATGAGGTTAGAATTTGCAAAGTTATGGATGGTTTTCAATTGAAGACGTTTTTATGCATGAAACACTTTAGAGACTCCCCTAGTTCGAACCTTATTTCATTATGGCATTTTGTATTTAATATAGATTTTTGTTCTTTTTTTATCGAATATTCAACTACCATACAACTGCATGTTCTCTATTTTCAATAAGTATATTGTCGGCAAGAGGGAGAGAGACATTCCAGAATTTGATTTTTTTTTCAAAATATATTTCTCGAATTTTTTTTATCATACGGTTGATTAGCTGTCAACAAAGCTTGAAATAAATCAAGAATATTGTTTCCACTACGCAAAAATGACTTTTTCCCTATAATTCAAAACTTTTCTGGATGGCATTTGATGGTCGTTTTGATTTTCTGGTACTATAGGTAATTTCATTTTCTATCAAATCATAGATTCATTTTACGTGGCACGACATTTTTCAACAAAAAGTCATTTTTCAGAATGCAATAGATTTAGATCGTTCGTAGCTAGATGTATGTAAAAGAGAATAACAAATTATTTATTTTGTAGACAAAGCTTTATTCTACCGTCTGATGTTTTATAAAGATTTTCTAACAGTTTTTATTGAGGCGAATTCACTCAAAATACAAAACCGAACTACATAAAACATTTTGTACAAATACTATTCTTGGCCTCTAGTAAGATTTATCCTCAATGAATAATATAAAGACAGAAAAAAAATTTCAATATATAGTTATAAAGAGTATGAAATTTTCATTCTAGCTGTTTTAATTTTGATTATTCTCAGCAACTTATTATAAGTGCATGAAAATTGACCAAACACATTATGACAAGACTTTTGCAACAAAGCTTATTATATTCATTGAGCATTAGCTTTTTTTTACAATCGAAGATTTTGTAATTTAAGTTTAAAGAATTATAAGTATACGGGCTATATTGAATATTTCATTGTCAAACTAAGAAATGAAGTGCCCTAGGCATCTGTAAACTCAAATAATTGAAAATTAAGAGATTTACAGTACATTTAATGTGACCTTGATTCAAAATTTCAGTAGATTTTATTTTGCTTATTTCAGGATCGTTGGATAGAACTCTCGTCGAGTTGTCTGAGAAAAGATATTTTTTGAAATTAAAAACAAAAGAAACTTTACGAAAAACTTCATCTCTCCATTATTTTCAAATGTAAAAGAAAATAGACGCCAGATTCTGACTTTCGTACAATTTCTGTTTTTTTTTTGTTTGTTTTATTTTTAAAATGCATTTTTTAAAATGTAATTTGACGAGACAATAGTACTCTATCGTAATGTAAAAAGAAAATGAGTAGATTTTAATGTTTTTCTTTGAAAGTAGATATCGAAAAAAGACTTGTCTCATATGTTGATGAAGAACTTTTTAGTAAATTGTTTCTCATCAATAGACTATTTCTGTTCATTTTATTTATTCGCTGCTTTTAATAAATGCATACACAAAAATTAAATCTGTATTATAAAAAAAACAAACATGATGGAAGTAAAAAATATACTAATCAATTATTATTATGTCATCATCGTCTACTGTTGTTGTTGCCGGTATTGCAGGTTTCGATGCGGGTGTTATTGTAATACTACTGTTAGTTGTATTTTCAGCCTGTTTGGCTAATTGTTGTTGTTTTCTTTGTTCTTCAATTGTTTGTTTAATTTGGTCGCGTATACGTTCTTGACGTCGTTGTAAAAACTCTGTAACTTGTTTAGGTGGTTTATATTCTTTTTTTCGAAGCCATTTATCGATTGCCTAGAAAAAATATTTTAAATAAAAAAAGAAAAAAAAATCATTACAATTCTTTGTTTTTTTTCTTCTGTACTTGTTTTATATCTTGCCGAAATTTTTCAGCTAAAGTTAAATATTCATCGGGTTTAATTTGACGCCGTAAATTTTCTTTAACTGCTTGATTATAATATTCTTTTATTTGTTCAAAATTTAGATGTTCAGCTTGTTTATTAATAAATTCATTTTTTAAATGTTGTAATTTTGTTTGCAAAAATGCTAATTGATTTTCATAAGATTTGGATAAATCAGATTTAATATATTGATGAAAAAGACTAAATTCACGTGAACAATTTAAACGAGCTAATTTTTCTAAATCAGGTGGTTGTAAACTATTTGATGAAGGGAGTGTTGTTTGTTTTGATGTGTTTGATGTTGTAGGACGTACATTAGAACGTGATGAAACCCTACTTGTAGGAGGTCTTACTGGCTTCGAAAGTGTAGCTGGTGGTTTGGATTTTTTTGGTGCTTTAGGTTTTGGTGTTGGACGAACACGAACAGGCTTCGGTGGTTCAAGACCTTGAATAATAAAGATTAAGTGTTTTGATAAAGAAAGAAAAGCAAAAAAAAATACGTTTCTGAATTTCTCGTGTTTCGCATTTCGTAACTCGTTTGACTGTTCTTTCTTTACGTGATGGAAATTTAACACCATAACTTGGTGTTGCTATTGATGTCATCTAAAACTAGACAATAGAATTCAGTACGTTCGAGAAAAGAAAGAAAAAAAAAATTTGTCGACATTGATAAAACAGAATAAAAAATATGCACCACTCCGTTTATATGCTTACTTGACTACGCAATCATAACTAGGTGTATAGTATAATACACGCATATATTGTAGACGTACGCATCTAACAGCATGAAATAGGCTTATTAAATACGACAATGAGGTGAAAAAATACTACATTATATAATTATTGTTGAAAAATATTCTTCATTAAAAAGAAAAGAACTTTAAATTTATTATTATATTTATCTTGTATTAATACATGATAAATATCAACTAATAAATTCAAAAAAGAAATTATATCTAAAAATGTAATTCAAAAAAAATACGTAACTTACATTGCAGTACGGGTTTGTATACTATATATATTTGTTCTACTCAGTTTGTGAACAGTGTTCTGTTGGTCGACAACGATTGACGACAGTACGCGAAAGTAAATGTACTTATAATGTGGAAAGAAAAAGAAATGCATGAATGTAATAACGACGATAGTGTTCTTACTATATCGTAGCTTGATTGCATGAAAAGAAAGAATCGTCAGATGGTTTGACCTCTTATCAAAGAAACGAGAAAAAGAAAAAAAAACGATGTAAATCAAACATGAATTTACTAGGCTATTTAGATTAAAGACGTCCTGATGTTATAACCCCTTGTAAAATATTTGCAATGACGTCATCAATCATCATAGCTCTTGAACAGATGATCGTTGAGAAGTGTCAATGATCAATATATGGCAATATAGATACAAGGTACTATTCATAGAACTGAACTGTGTAGTAATAGATGAAAGTCGCTGTCTCCTAAGTATCTTGGCAAGCATACATGCTACATGTAGGTTCATTCATTTCTTCTGATTTTCTATCGTATTAATTTCGTTGAAGTTCATCAATTCTTCTTACAATTGTAGCCATGACTTTATGACCATTCGGATGAAGAAAAATGATTTGTTAGACTTTGAAAATCATAATTCAGTTATGGTTTAGTGAATCGAGTTGAAACTAGTACGTAAGTTTCGTATGTATTTGAGTATTACTACGAACAAATTTCATGAAAGAATCTTTCACTAAATGAAATCGAGATACGCGTGGTGGAAAGACTTTTGTCCACATATTTTACAACTCAAAAATTCTGAAACATAAACAAATATTTAGAGTGGCCAAAGTTGATTTTTTTCTAACAAACAACTATTTAATAGAATTTTTTCATTCAATAAGGAACACGTCTCTTGTTCATTTCGGACACTTCTATATTATAAAACTTTATTTTAAAAGTTTCCTAAAAACAATTACTGATAACTATATGTTATTTTCCACAAAACACTATGATTTATATTTGGAACAGAACGACATAAGCGATGTCGGAACTCAGTAAATCAACTTTCCTATCTAAGATGAGCAATGATCGATTAACGAGTAACACTCTAGGATGCAATTATCTTACCGAGTATCTGTTCTGGTGAGCGAATGTGGAGGATCCCATTTCATCAAATGTTAATGATAATTAGCTTCATTTAATGTTAATTTGAATTCAATGATATAGATCAATAATATACTAATAATAAATGAAAATCAGACAACATACATCTATGTTAATAGAAGAGAATGAACTATTTTAAATTCCGCGATATGTGAACCGAAACAATAGTAGCAATGTAGATATATTATATTTATTTATACTTTTAGCTTGCATTAGGCTTATAAAGCAGTTACAAAGATAACAATAGATGCAATACACGAATCATATTGATAGTGTCATATTTTAATTCGGCTATAAACTCTGATAATAACCATTCGAAATCTTAAAGAAGTATTGAAATATAGGGTTCAAAATTCGAACTTATCTGCCTAACCGTCCAGATCGTGATAGACATTCTCGACATACGATCAAAAAATTGTATTATTAATAACATCTCGTTATATTATATGAACTACTTCGTTGTTGCATTTCTGAAAGATAAAATAAAAGAATAGTGAAGGAAGAAATATGTTCCAAATACATAAAATGACATAATTTCTTTGTGATAAACATCAACAGATATATCATATTTCACATTTTAATACCACAACGATTATACTAACTGCTTTTTTTGTATGTATGTATGTATAATTATATTTTTTCAAATTAGAATATAATTCTTTCGCATTAAATATATAAGAAGATATAGAACGTGTTGCTTATCAATATAATTTAAATGTTTTTATTAAAAATTTCAGAAAGTTCACAGTTATATTTTTAATATTATGATTGTTTTATTTATGTAATGAAAGTCAAATTTTTCTAGAAAAACCAACTAATATACTTTCATCTTTATTGTAGCTATACATATTATTATAGAATATTTTTAATAAATGACTAATCATTCTTTCCTTTTGATATTATGCATTAGAATACTGATCATATCCAGTTTTTCTACTTGTTGAACTCATCAATTTCGTGAATTTTCTTTTATTTTGTTCCTTCTATTGTGTAGTTGGATTCTATTTTAACATTCAGACATTGAAAATAGCATGATTTTATGAACATCTAGTTATAACATTTATATATTGTTTTTTCGATTATCATATCGAAGACGGTAAGAATCTGATTTTATACTTAATTTACTTATTTTATTTTTTGATAGATAATCACCAAAAGAAAAGACTGCTGAAGAAGAACAACGTCAAGCTCTTTTGAATAATCAATGAAGTTCAAATAATGAACGCTTTATTGTGAAACACAAGCCAGATGGTTGGAAACAGAACGAAACAGTTATGAAATTTCGTGTAAGACAATTGAATCCTGTCGATCCAATTTATAAAGCTGCAAAAAATAAAAAAATAAATGTTCTTGTAATTTACATGATATAAAGAACAAATAAACGAACGACATATCACTTATGTTTATTCAAATATTTCTGAGATCACAAAGATAGTTGCTGAATTTATTTGAAAGCGAAAAAAAGAAATAGATATTGATAATCTATTTCAAAGAAAAACTTACTAATAAGAACATTAGAATCCGTAAATATTTCTGATGTATCGATCGAATTAAGAAAAATAATACAACTCAATAATGTTATGATTAATAAAGAATCTACATGTTCAACTGTTTCATGTAAAAAAACATGAATACATTGAAAACTACAATTTAATGAAAATTTTAATTGTTAAAATTATTATTTGTTTAACGTAGTAAACATCTAATTTAAATGAATAATTGTATAACATAAGAACAATTATATTTATAAATCTTGTGGTAGTTTTTTTTCATTTCTTGTTGATAATCATTGGTTTAGTAAACAATTATCAACATTTTCATCATACATGTCAACTGAATATCGAGACTATTTCAGTAACTAATTAAGTTCTTATTATAAAGCAGATCAAATTGTTTGATATAATTTGTCCTAAAATTGAAACTTCATCATTCACATTGGTTATGGAAGAAAATGTATCGTTTGTTTTTAAAAAAAGAAAAAGTTTAACATGATAACAGATATTTCAATATACGATCTGATGTAAAAACTCAAATTAAGAAAAGAGCAATTCTAGTGACAATGGTCAAAAGAAACAAGAGCAAAATGGAAGCAAGTAATTGGTGTCTACTGATACCAGACTCAAAAGGAGAAAACATTCTTTTTTTTCCAAAAGAGTTGAAATAATACGACAAGTTACTTTAATAATAAATCAAGCATCATTTGAACACTTTGAAAGAAGTAGCGAGATAGAATTTTAGATGAAAATTTTTTTTTTTCTATAGCACAGTATCAATTTGTGACACCTTGATTAAACCTTCTCGTTCCTCGATAAAAAGACGATTTGCTAAGAAAAATTCGATTTTCAGATTTATAAATGTGCTGATCGTTCTTGCAATGAGCTTTAAACTGGCATAATTTATTTTGTCAAAAGAAGAAGGCTCAACTTTTTTCTTTTTCCGAGGGGTTTTTTTGGGGCAGTTTCGATGATATTGAATTGATTGCGCATATTTGAGTGTAGCTGCGTGAGTGTAGCGTTTGTGTTTAAGAAAATATCCAAATATAAACCTATATCCACATCTTCATCTGTTCATGAACAAAATTAGGGTGTGGGTGTGAATATTTTCTTAAACACGCACATCACACCCAGCCACCCACGGTGTTGAACTTAGTTTCTGTCTAGGACACCTCAGTCAAATGTCTGATAATCATGAGTTTCAAAAGTTGCCTTTTTTGGCTAATATTTTATCTCTTCTGAAAAAATAAGGATGTGGATGAAGAAAATACCCACACACATACTTGTATCTTCCAAAAACTAGATTTACTAAGAAGACAGGCTTAAAATGGGAACCTATATTTGGAATATTTGAATATTTTCAATAGATCAAGATCATGATCGACGTCATATGCCTGATATAGAAATTAATTGACATCATACTTCATCCTGTACTAATGCACGCAATCAAATACATGAAGTTTGTTTGGTTAGTGCTTGTTTATATTGTTTTTCGATCAAGATAAAAATCAATAATTCAACTTATCCAATATACGTACAATGTTGATTCAATTCAAAGTTTACAAAGGACATTTCAGTTATTATTGTCTTCAGATTTCCATAATTGAGCTAGATTGTAGGCAAATAATGGATCTCTATTCTCCTTCGGATTAGAACGATAGATGATCAATTGATGTGTAGAAAACTTGAAGCGAACTGTGCACAATGTGGCCAAATTCGAATCTACCTTGGTGGGATCACAAAAAATGGGATAGTTTTCATCGGTTTGATCACCTAATAATATAAGAGCATCGTTGACCGTATGAATTTCGCCAAGTTCAAGGCCACGTCGTTCACGAGCTCGTGTCAAAGACAATGCTTTACGTTCCACAACAAGTTTATGAAGTCGCTGATAATGATTATAATGAACAAGATAGTTCTCGGCGATCGAGTTTGTATCTATTGTTAGACATAAAGAAAGAATAATTAGAACAAATAAGTATCAGTTATACGTTCGTGTTACTATTTTTCAGTTGATATTGTCGATATTGATTATGATTTAGAACGAGACATTTGCTTACTAGATTTCTGTCAGTAGTAGAAAAATCAGGACTAATTTCATAATTGATAAAATAAAACTGATCTAAATTTTTTTCATTAAAAAATCCACAATTAATCGAAAATCCATATGCAACTGATTTTGCCGAAAGAAGTTGATCTAATTCATTTTCATTGTGCATGGAAAGTAGAGCTCGATTGATTATTTGTCGTGGAATAGAATTGTGTCTGACAGAATTCGGAAAGAGAGCATTAATAGCATATCCGAATCCGTGCATATTAACACCGAAGGCGTTACCTAAATTCTAGCTAGAAGATAATGTCGATGAAACATTGTTATCTTACCAGGAATTACACCAGCATAGCAAAACGCAATAAATTTTTCGTTCGAACTTTGCCGTTCATGATTATTATAAGTAACTGACTTGATATCAGCCTCGATTAAATATGCAGTATCGTATAGAGCACTTGAACTGTCTTCATTATGCAAAATTTCAACTGTATGTGTATCTGGTCTATTGATCAATACCGTCGTACAGTCATGTGCTTCGTATTCATCTTCGATGTGTTTATCGCATGTTTTGGTTTCTTCCAATAGATGAAAGGTCATTCGTGTTTCCTTTTCAAAATTGAGTACTAACAGTTGTTCTAATGGTACTCCAGAACCATCAGCCAAACCGCACAATTCATCCCAATACCAAGGAAAATTTAAATGAATAGCTTCAGTAAAACCATGATAAAGTTCACGACCTTGTTCAGTTTGAGCGAAATCAAATAACGGCGTCAATAATGCTAGGTCATTAGCAATACGTCGGAGTATTCGTTCACGGCAAAGATCACCGATAGTACGGCCACATTCGTAATGGGTACCTTGCACACGATACAATGGAATTTCCGTCGATGCCATCTTAGGACAATCTTTTACAAAAATAAAGTGTCGATAAACAAGAAACAACAAATAAAAATGATCCAGAAAAAGTCGAAACATGTAAGGCATTCGAGGAAATTATGCATGTTCTTAGCGAATTCTTTTATCTATCGTTTTAAATTCGTTTCACAACAGTATTTTCTGGAATTAATAACCGTAACCAGAAATTCAGAATTGAAGAAAGATCACTGAACAAAACCTCTGGTGAACGGATAGTTAAAGAGTCAGGATCGATTTTAATTGGATCGACTTCGATCATTGAATGGACACACGAAAACGTGGATGAGAGGAAGAGAAACTCAACCTCGTCAGCAAACGGTAGTTAGATCACTACCTGTAACAGATAATTTTCTCTTATGAGAATAAAAATCGTTGTTTTATACAAATAAATTTATTTACGTTTAATTGAACACTATTAGCCCTTTGTACGTTTCTTTTTTCTCTTCTTTTAATTTTTTCCTCGTAGAATATTGGTTTCTTTCATTTTTTGCAGCAACTGAATCATTAGTTTTGAATGACTCACTAACGAAGAAAGGGCTCCAACTGACCGATGTCGTTTTCAATAATATCCTGTTTATATATCAGGAATATTATTGTAAGAAAAATTATATGAAGATTTAGGTTGATGGAGCTTACTTCAAAAGTTATGACTTTTTCACTGATTTTTCACTTGACACAAGATATACACAGAAAAGTTGAACAAACAAATATCATTCTGAAATATTGTCTGTATGTAGTTTTCGTGCTTACTAGAACCCTCTAACAGTTTCAGTGAAAAAACGGATTCCTTTTAAAGATATTGATTCTTCAAAACAGGTCTCAAAATCTCTGAAGTCATGAAAGCTAGTCTTATGTGAAATTAAATATCTCGCAACAGAAATATGTTTTTCACTAAAACTTTTAGAGGATTCTAGTAAGCACAAAAACTACATATAAGCAATATTTCAGAATGAAGTCTATGTGTTCAATTTCTCTATTTATATCTTGTGCTAGGTGGACAAATCAGTAACATAGGCATAACCTTTGAAGTAAGCCCCAATCAGCCTATATTCTCGTATAATTTTTCTTAGAATAATATTCCTGACATATAAACAAGATATTATTGAAAACGGTGTCGGTCAGTTGGCTACCTTACCTCGTAAAAAGAGCTTTTTAGGGTGAGTTAAGAGCGAAAATCGAGCCGAACTTTCATTTTGTTAAATGACACTTAGTTCGACAGAAACTCAGAAAAAGTAGATTGAATAGAAGAATTTCCATGTAATCAGCAACCATAGCTATATCGTCTTTTACACTTTAACCCGTCAGAAAATATGCTAATAGCTCTTTTTTACTTTCAACAAATAAAATCCTCATTTGCTCATTATGGGTGTAAGATACTGCACCACCAAAGTGTGGATGTTTTAAAGGCAAGTGAGTTCTGTGTTATACAGTATCTTATCTGACTGTTTTTTATTTCTTGTAAGTTACATAAAAGTAAACAAAAAAGAAACGACAACATATCATATATTGAATGGAAAGACAAAAGGAATGACAATAGAGGTCAGGTCCTGACAATGGGAACCGCCAGTCGATAATAAAAAATTACTCGTTCTCGATTTTGTACTTTTTATTGATACTGAGAAAGTTAGGATTTGAAAATTTTGACTATTCAAACTCTAGTCTCAAGTGAATTGCATGTGACACTCAAAATCAGCATGAAAACTTGATCGAATGATATCGAGTTTTGTGTGAAAATGTTTTCCGTCTAAATTTAGACTGATAAGACTAAGCGCAAACATTGCTACAACAAGAGAAGTGAGAAGTGGATGGATCGAATGTCAACTGAAAATATCTTCACTTAAAGTCGATATTACTCAATCAAGTTTTTCCTCAAAGTTTTGATATTCAAAATCTCCAAATATGTGTGTATTTTTAGTATATTATTGCAGAGATCGAAGAAATCCTGATTCTCTCAGCGTCCACGAGAAGTACAAAAGCGAAGATGAGTTAATTTTTCTATTATCAGCTGGCGGTCGAATAATGTGCAAATGAAGGTTTTATGTGTTGAGACTACCAAAGGAGATAGATTTGCATGATACCAAGAACTATTATTGTCGGAACGATCTCAACCAATTCCACCTAAAGGACAAAATTTGATTGTCTTACGTTAAATGCAGACAGTTATAGTCAATATTTGATACGGAACCCAAAAATAGCAGTTTCGCAAAAATAACGTAACAGCTTACGGTTCAAATCTAGAGTTTGTTCGTAACTCGTCAATTATCGATATTTTTCGTAATGACGTGTATTTCGAGGATTTCTGACCAAAACTAATTGAAAAAACATTCAAATTAAATATTCTGAATCACCAAATGAAGCTCCGGAGAATCAAGTGTCATTAAACGAAATCGAACTTTTTACTTGACTTTTGCTTCTGGTGCGCCTTTCAAACATTTGACCGAGTAAAATGAAGTTGTCGGATACAATCTTGTACTTCTTTTACTTCTTATCAACATAATTTCATTATGAAACTAATAATTAATGTAGCAAATTTGAATCTCATTCTTGTGATATTTTGATCTTACCGAACACTATTTAGATATCTTACAAACACTATCAAATAAAAAGTTTTAAAGATAACAGGTGTGGATAGATGCCTCATACACAACTATATGACAGAATAATAGAAACAGAATAAATAGTTGTGTATGAGGCATCTGTCAACACCTATTATCTTTGAAGTCTTACCATTTTATGGCGTTTGTAAACATCTCCAATGCCGATCGCCAAGATTAAAGCATCACGGACATAAGTTTCGAATTTTGTGAGTGTGCCTGCCAGTGTCGGTGCACGCATACCCACACCCTCTTGTAGCAGCAGGAACTTCATTAACTTCAAAAAGCTTGTAGTTTCTAGTAGATATATCACGCTAAATAACTGCATAATATCTAACGAATATAATTAGGTCTTCAATGTGAAACATATATTTTACTTTCAGGGTTCTATCAGTGAGATTTACCTATTTTATCTTGTTTGTGGTACTTGCTACATCATAATGATTTATCGGGTAAACTCATTGTGTGTGAAATTCATTTAAGTTTGCTTTAGAAAAGAAATGAAAATTATGTTTGTCACAACATATGACATTAGTCTACTGCCATTTTTTTCTTCTTTGATAGCAGTGTTTCTAATTGGAATGTCAAACAGAATATTTCCTGACACTTTTTTTTTGAATCACAAAATCGCGCAAGCAAAAAAAAAAACAATTCCTTTTAACATCACTTCTTAATAAACAAAGTATGTTTTAACACATAGAAAAAAGATAGAACAATAAATTATAAAAAAAAGATATGATTGTGCGAAGAGTTTTATCTGATTAAAAGCAAGCAAAAATCGTTCTTCTAAACTAGTGTTAAATATTAACACTTTTAAAGTTCTTCATCTTCATTATGCATGCCAATACGATCCTTACTAAAGCATGATGTTGATTCAGCCGTAATTTCGAATTTACTACGGCATTCATTATATAATCATCATGAAACATGTCTTCTATTCAAACAAAGAATTTAGTTTGATGAAAACTCCGAATGGCATTCAATTCATCCAGAGCAACTGATGTAATAACGTTTTTTCAACGATTTGCACATTTAATGGCTTTTACTTTTTTGCTTTTTGGATTTCAACCAACTGGCATCGGTTGATGTTGGTGTTCTTTTTGAGGCTATGAGTGTCTGAGTACAGGCATGGATTGATTAGGATCGAGTGTGGTGGTGTGACTGTGAGCATATGAAAACAAGATTCATATCCACACAGTCACAGGCAAATCTCATACCCTTTCGGACATCTACACGCACACCTTGTTACTACAGACTAATTTAGTTCAGTTCTTTTTTAAAATGATGGTGAGTCGAAAAGAATTAGAAATATTTCATGTCAAAAATGTCTTCTAATAAACATACCTTCTTGTTATATCAGGTATTTATTTGTTTGTTTGTTTGTCACTCATAGAAAAAAATCTTACTTTTATCTCTAATTTATATGTATTTTATAAACAAAATATAAATTAACTCCCCTAATACCGACATGTGACTGCAAGCGAATGTACGTATATACAAATTTATTGAATTTCTTCTCTCTGACCTTACTTTCAGTCGATGAAGCATTATTTTTTTTCGTAAAAAAAACCTTTTCTTCACAAAAAAAATCGAACTCAAAATGACGAGAAACCGATTACAAGCTCGTATTGATCAACCCCAATTCTATTTGATCAAATTTTATTAAAAACAATCCTTATATATACGAAGGCACGTGCCTGTCGGTGTGACTGCAAATAAACACACACGGACTCATTTGATTTCATATCATTCTCCTTTCAATCTAGGGAATAGTTTTAAATTAAATTCATTATTTACTTGCTACTATAATATCAGTAATATTTATGTATCAATGGATTTTTCTTGTTAATGACTTTTGCAAAAATCGAAAATGCATACGAACAAAAAATTTTGTTTCTTTTTAGAAAAATAAAATTTAATATGTATCTTGTTCTTCATTGTATAAAATTAAATATTGAACAAAAGAATTTCCATTGATATACAAACAATAATAAAAAGAATTGATGCTTGTAGTTTGAGAATAGATTATCTGTTACACTCTTTATAAACAGAATGATGTGTTTCTAGTTGTGAATGTAAAACTGATAGCCTCGGTCATGCGTAAAAATGTCGCTTGAAGCTGAGTTTGATCAAGATTAAACTTTTGAGTAAGAAACGAAGGTCAGTGAAGCAATAATATTTTGTCAGTTCTGTGTGTTAAGTGCGAAATAAAAATAGGTTAATACGTAGTATAGCGCACATTCTAACAAACATTCAGCTGACACTTCATCACGATTGATTAATCTATGCGGATGATGGAGGTAGAACAAGCAAAACGATAGTAATATTTGTATGAAACAAACGCAGTATATTATTAATAATTCATGCTCTATTCATCCGTAGATA